CGAAGCTCTCCTTAGAGCGCAGAAGCTCCAGTCGAGAATACTGGAGGTTGCGGGAACTGCGATGGTGAAGCTGGAGAAGATCACCAAGCGTGAGGAGTCCCTCAAAACGCTGCGCCGAGAGGGAGAGAGTCGGGCGGCCGGGGAAGGCGCCGACGGGGAAGAGGTGTCTGACGATGGTCAGGACGCCCCCGGGGCTGCGGGGTCGAGCACTTCCGCCAGGCCTTCGGGAGGCGGGACCGCCCAGTCCGCCTCAGCCTCAGAGGAGCCTCGCCCCAACGCTGACGGCCACTACGGATGTTCGGCTCCGGGATGCGGGCTAGCCTTTGAGTCGCTGGTGCAGTACCACTTGCATCAGGCGGCCTGCCATGGCGCCTCTCTTCCGCCCAACCTGGGGATCAGCCCCTCCGCACCTCTTGACCCTTTTCGTCAGGACTGGCGGGGACGGCTGTTCCGCCGAGGAAAGGACGGTGGGTATGGGGAGGTGCCCATGCTCCGAGTGATTAGGTACCACAAAGCCAACGGGTACGATCACTCGAGAGTCCCGCTCCTGAGGCGAGGGGACCGAATCCAGCTTGAGGATGGATCGCACCACATCTATGGTGGTAGCCATCCGCCGGGGTGGCTTCGCGACGACCCCGAGCTGGACCCCCCTGGTGCTCCAGAGGGAAGCGATGGAGGGTCCACGCCCAAGAGCGAGCCCACGGAGGAGGCCGAGCCCGAGCCTCCGCGGAAGGCCGCTCCGCGCGGGCGGGCCCTCGAGCCGCCGAAGGGCGACGTCCAGCGACGCCTGGCCGAGCGTCGCTCCAAGCGAGATTACTCGCCGGACCTGGTGACGCCTCTTGACGATCTCCATGCCAAGGAGATCGACTCCTTCTTCGCGGGCGACCCAGCCGCGGATAGCCTTGACGTCATTTCGATGCGCGCCGAGGTTCGCACTGAGTCCCACCTCAAAGTTGGCCGGGAGGAGGAAGAGCCCCTGGTCAAGGAAGAGCAGGAGGAGGAGGCTGAGGTCGTCAAAGACGAGGAGGTCTCGGTTGAGATGGAGGCTGCCACCGCGGATGAGGCGGACGAGGTCGCCCTCCCAGCCAACCGAGCCTACGTCGAAGGCCGCTTTTACCCCTACGGCAGCTGGCGGTGCTTCTTCTGCGAAGCCATCAACCCGGTTACCGAGGACCAGTGCCTCACCACGCACGCGGGCGGCCCGAATGCGGGCGCCCCGTGCGACGGCCGATGGATCAATGGGATCGACATCGGGTGGTGGGAGGTGGATCCCCAAACCGCGCCGGAGCAATGGCGGCGGAGGTTTTCTGCCGAAGAGCTTGAAGACCAACAAGCGCGGGCAGATGCCGCGAGGCTCCTCAGCGATGAGGAACTCGCTGAAGCCCTCCAGGCGGCCGAGGAGGCGCAGGCGGCCGAGCGCGCCAAGAAGCGGGAGCGGCGCCAGGCGGAGAAGGCGGAGCGCGATGATCACATCAGCGAAGCGCTCCGCATAGCAGGGTGGCAGTGCCCTAACTGCTATGAATGGAACCTTTCATTCAGGCAGCTGTGCTTTAGGTGCAGCACACCCCTCCGCTTGGCAGAGGTCGTTTCCCGCGGGATCCCGGATCCGCGGCGCGGCGAACAGAGGGACTCGGGCTCCGAGAGCAGCCAGGATGAGCTGGAGTACGAGATCCTTCTGGCCAATCGCGCGATGGATCAGGAAACGATCCAGCCTCTTCTTAGAAGCAAACACAAGAAGAGGGGCGGCAAGAGACGTCGCGAGGAGGCGACGCACGGCAAGGGCCGCGACCCTTGGGGTGCTTGGGCAGACGCCCGTGGCAAGGGCCAGGGCAAGCCGAAGGGCAGAGGCAAGTCCGATGCCAAGGGCAAGCCCAAGGGGAGGGGCAAGTACGCCTGGGGCGCTTTCGCCGCGGGCATTGTTGCCGCGCTCCAACCCCGCCCAAGCACAAGCTGGGTCCCAGCTTTCCCGTGCGGGTCGGCCCGGCCGCCGCCGAGTGTTCCGCTTCCGCCGCGGACCCCCTTTTTCCTGGGTCGCGGGCTCCTCAATCGGTTGATGCACGCCCTCAACGGGAACATCAACGGCTGGTGGGGCCTGGCGGCTGCAGCGTCGGCGCCGATTGCCTTGCAGTTGCACCGCGGGGCTGTGCATGTTGTCGAGGACTCTATGCACGCGGTTGCAACGATTTCGGCCGACGTGGTCGAGGAAATCGGTCACGGGGCGAGGCGGACCGTGTGGGTCGCCGGAACAGCCATCACTCTGGTAGTAGTGATCTTGTGCGGTGCTGTTCTGTGGTACGTGAGTCGTGCCGTTGCCAATCGCATTGCGCATTTGCGACATGGCAACACCGCGGCCCCTGAGGCGCGGCTGTCTCAACTCCTTGGCTCTGAGGCGACGTTTGAGGTCGCGAGCACCAAGAAAGGGGTGACCCATAAGGTTTGGGTGCATCTCAAGGAGGAGACAGCTGCCTGTGGCTGTCGTGCTTACCTGGCAGAAGGACGCTGCGGGCATTGCGATGCCGCAATGGACACCGCCCGTTCCTTAGGGTTTTTGCACGCGGCCCAGCGAGGCGCGGGTCCTGCGCTCACAGACTCCATTCGGAGTACCGCCTCCGATGCCCTAGCTAAGGGTAAGGTGGTGTTGGGTTTGGGGAACAGTGAAGGGTGTTTCTCCCAACTCGCGGCCAAGAGCCGCGGGCTCTCCTGCTTTCAGGGGCTCGCGGGTCGTGACCTGGCCGCGGCCCCAGCAAATGGAGCGAGCGCAGCCCACGCACAGTCCGGCTCAGTGCAACGTGCCGCCACTGCCACTGTGGCGCGCACGCCAGGCCGGAGGAACAAGGGCCCAGCCCCCGCTAGGAGTTCTCCAGTCAAAGAAGCGGAATTCCTTGCGGGCGGGCCATACATTCAGGCCGCCCAAACGCTGCTTGGGTCTGGAGCAGCAGAGGATGTGATCTACATCCGGGCTTACAGCTTAGATTGCCCATCCTGCATCGAGGCAATCGAAGCGTCGCTTGGCAAGGGCGCAAGCGTTCGGATTGTCGCCGACATGGGACAATGCCACCGCACCAAGCTTCAGTGGCAAGCGTTGAAACGCTTGGCGGCCGCAGGTGCCGAGGTGAAGGTGGGTTGCGGCACATCCTTGCGCGACGCCTATGCTCGCGACGGCCGCGGGGCTAAGGTAGGCACCGGGATTCAAGGGCTGCACCATGCCAAAGCCCTTTGCCTACTGCGGCCTGACGGCGCGGTGGTGCTGATTGGGAGCCTCAATTTTACCACAAGCAGCAAAGCCAATGCGGAGGCAGGGCTTAAGCTTGAGGTCCCCAAGACGCACCCTGTCGCGCAGTCCTACGTCGAGGATTTCCAGAGGGTGTCGGCTGAGGCATTCTCCCTCGATGAGGCGGTTGCGAAGCGCCCTCAGTTGGAGCGAGCCAGTAGCTCCAACGTTGCTGGCAACGCCACTCGTGCCCCCAACACTGCTCCAGAGGGTATCGAGTAGGCTGCGGCCAGTTGGCGCGGCGTGGTATGCATCCACGCATTATCAGAGCAGGCGTTGCAACACGGCACGTTGCTTCGCCAACCTTTTGCACTTTCTTTTGCGTGACTGCGGGCGAAAAGCCGCGGCAGGTTGGAAGCCTGCCCATTTTGCATTCCCCGCACTTTTCTTCTCCGCCCTGCCTGTGGCCCCTCTTGTCGAGGGCGCTCTTTTGCAGGTGCTGCGGACCGTGTCCTGGTCGCGGCAGTGCGCTCGCCGAAGCGCGTGCGAGTTGCACTGGCTGCGGCACAAGCAATGTGCGCGGCTCTCGCTGAGTCCGGTAGCCCGTAGGGTAGTTCTGGATAGGTGAGTAGCCGTAGCCGTAGCTTAGGGCCGGTAGGTTGTACAGTGTACCATTTGTACCATAGTCTGCGTACTGGCAGCTAGAGACCAGCTCGAGGATTCAGGAGCCTCGCCCACCAGCAAAGGGTGAGGGCCTTCAGGGAAAGGGCGGTTTAGGGCTGCTGAGGGTTGCTGTCGTCGTGCGTTCGTTTTGGTGGTGCGGGCTAGCGTCCCTGCCGCATGCCAATGCTCATGATGTGCGGACCACCGCGGTCGCACGCGACACCCTCTCCCTTCCCTTTCTGTGTTCAGCGCGAGTGCCTGCTGCACTCCGAGCTCGAGATGAGCTGGAAGCCTCGGCTGAGGGGCGAATGTGAGCAGGTCTATGCACGCACGCTGCATGTGCAAAGCTGCCAGGGCCAGTACTGTAGTAGTTTTCCTTTGCATGCGTAGTTTTGCAATTCGTAACAATGCCAATGTTTTGGCTCAAGTACCGAGCTTGTGCCTTTGAGCACGGTAGTTTCGTACAGTAGCTCTTAGGTTGCTGTGCGGTCCGACCGGACGCACTCAGGCGTAGCTGCACAAGTGCTTGAACTCGCGAAGTCGTAAAACAGCGTGGCCGGGCTGTGATTGCATTGGCTTAGTGCAAGTCCAGTGCTGGTCGACTTCACAGTATGTATATATGTATATATGTATATATGTATATATGTATATATGTATATATGTATATATGTATATATGTATATATGTACATATGTATATATGCATGTATGTATATATATATACGCATATTAATATGTATATGTATATATATATATATATATATATGTATGTACTTTGTTTTTTGTTTGGGTGGGGAAGGGGGGTAGGGGGGGTTGGTTGGTGGGTTGGTTGGGGGCCTTAGGGGGGTTTTGGAGTTCGGGACCTTTGGGATTTCAGAGGGTCTGGCATTTGTGTGGGGCTTAGGGTTTGGGGCTTGGGGTTCAGGGGTGCTTTTTGAGGGCTTTGGCAATGGCTGATGGCTTGGGCTCTACATTTTGGCTGCATTTTGGGTGTTTTTTGCTACTACCAGGAGCTTGGGATCTGGTATTTGCAGCACTTGTCGCTTCAAGCAGAAGGCTTCGGGGTGACCCCTCTTTTGTGATGCGAGCTTTAGACACAGAACTTAGGGGTTAAAACGCGAACTCTTCTAGCTGTCAATGAACCGTGTAAGCATGGGCGCCCTCATCGTGGGGTGCTCTGGAAACCGGATGCACGGGTAGCGTGGGCGATCATCGGGCGAGGATGCTCCGGGAGACCGGTTGCTCTGGTAGGACGCAAACCCCTAAACGCCTGCTCCTGCAGGCTCCGGGTTTTCAATTGCTCTAGTGAGTACACAAAGCCTTGAAGCCCTCACCTGCTCGTGAAGGCTCCGGGCTTGCCAAAGGTGATTACACAAAGCTTTAAGGAATCTGGAAGCATATTCACGCATCTTCAAGCATCCTAAAGCACCTTCCAGCATCTTAGAAAAAATCTGGACCCTAAACCCTAAACCCTAAACCCTAAACCCTAAACCCTAAACCCTAACCTTACAACCTACACCCTAAAACACCTTAAAGCTCCTTCAAGCACCTCAAAACCCCCCACAAAACCCTGCCTGGATCCAGGTCCAACGCCAGCTCCCGCATGGAGTGGGCCACGGGGATCGGAGATGGAATGCCCTTGAGCTCCTCCCAGGCCACTTCGGGTTTAGGGTTTAGGGTTTAGGGTTTAGGGTTTAGGGTTTAGGGTTTAGGGCTGAGGGCTGAAGGCTGAAGGCTGAGGGTTGAGCTCCTCCCAAGCCAGGGGTTTCAGGGTTTAGGGCTTGTTTAGGCTTTAGGGTTTAAAGGGTTTAAAGGGCTTACAAGGTTTCTAGGCTTTGTAGGGTTTCAGGTCTCGGGTTTAGGGGGCTTTCCTGAACGGGGCAGTTGGCTTCTGAGTGCCTTGGGTTTGTGGGTCGCTATTTTGCGGCATCTGGGCATCCGGAACGGCACTTAGACCTGGTTCATGGGCACTTAGAGCCCCAGTTACAAAAAGTCTACCTATGACCTGCTTGGGGGGGGGGACTTAGGGGGGTCGATACGTGCAGTTAGAATTGGGGAATTCTTAAGTACCCTGAACCTCCAAGTGCTACTCATCCGCCTAGCCCTCGGAACCGCCTCCTTCCCCTGCTCTCGGGGATCCCGCGCCACTGGGCAGGCCCCAGGCGTTAGGGTTTAGGGTTTAGGGTTTTAGGGTTTAGGGGAAAGGTCCCTAAGATTAGAACCCTGAATACCATATTGCAAATATGTTGCGGAATTTGAATGTTTCTTATATTGTCTTATTTCTTTTCTTACTAATTAGCGGAATGTTCGTGTGTAAAATTCCTGCTTTCCTAGTATTGTCATGATTTTATTCTTAATCTTGTCAAGCAGAATCCCAATCAGCTTCCTCCTGCTGCGCAGCCGCGACCTGCTGCACCGCGTTGCCGTAGGCGTACACGAACACGCCTGGGCTTGAGGCTCGAAGTTCTGTGGACCTAAACCCTAAACCCTAAACCCTAACTTTAAACCCTAAACCCTAAACCCTAAAGGGTTCCGGCTGCCCGGCTAGGGGATTGGACTTTGCCTGAGCCCGAAACCCCTGGTTCCGACGTAAAAGGCCCCATGCTCTCTCTCCCTGAATCTTCATTTGGTGTCGAAAGTCCCGCTCCCTCTGAGCTTTAAAGCCCTTGAACCCTAAACCTAAACCCTAAACCCTAAACCCTAAACCCTAAACCCTAAACCCTCGTAACCATCTTCAAGGCCGACCAGGCGCCAACCGTCATGAAGATGAAGCCGACCACCTGCCAGCAGCCAATTCTTCTGCTCATAGGTTTAGGGTTTAGGGTTTAGGGTTTAGGGTTTAGGGTTTAGGGTTTAGGGTTTAGGGTTTAGGGTTTGCGTTTAGGGTTTTCGGAGGGGTCTGCACGGTGGTGCTTTTTTAAAGGTTTCAAACCGGCGTCTAGGGTTTCAAGGGTTTCAGCCAAAGAGTCGGGGATCGCTTGCCATTAGGGTTTAGGGTTTAGGGCTTGGGGTTTAGGGTTTAGGATTTAGGGTTTAGGGCTTAGGGCTTAGGGTTTCGGAGGGTGCTGAACTCAGCATGCTGGAGGAACTTGGGGGGCCAGAATCTCGCGAGCCCTGAGCCTTTCCTTTCCTCGAAGCCCAGCTTCCCATCCCCCAAGAGGAGACCGTCGCCATGAGCCAAAGACCAATGTCCAAGGAAGAAACAAGGATAACCTTTGGGACGTTCCCCCCCAAACCCTAAACCCTAAACCCTAAGCCCTAAGCCCTAAACCCTAAACCCTAAACCCTAAACCCTAAACCCTAATTCTTGAACTCCGGTTTCTCATGTTCCGCTTCAGCCACGTGTGTAGAAGCACAAGAAGTCGAATGCATAGCCCACTTAATCGAACGTGTTGACCAGGAGACAGCTCTTGCAAGAACCACTGTTTTTAACTTGGCCCGTAGCTGGCTTCAGGTTAGAGCGACATGCAGCCCGATGCTTCCACTCATCAGGCAAAGCTAAAAGGCCCACAGCACGGCAGTGGCCCTTAACGAAACCCCCGCAGTTATGGGAGGGGACGAAGTCAAGGGCGTGCAAGAACAAAAAGGCATGGCATCACAAATTAGTCTTTACAGCTTGAGCATCAATGTTCAGAGTCGGCGCAGCTGGTAGTCGAAAGTGCGATGCATTCCCAGTGAGAAAGTCTTGAAACAATCGACATGTCAGTGGAAGGTCTGCAAAATGCCCTCCCTCTGCAATGACACCTCTTCAAGAATAAGGGGTGCAACCCTAAACCTAAACCCTAAACCCTAAACCCTAAACCCTAAACCCTCAACCCTAAACCCTAAACCCTAGCAGCTTCTGAGTAGGAATTCTAGCAACCCCCTATTGCAATCCCTATTAAGGACTGCTAGTATCAGGGGGAACATCCCAAGATAACCTGAGGTAAAAGTTACCTTGGTACCCCAGTAACCATATTACAACAAGGGCACTCTTTTTTGGTTGGTTCATTTTACAAGGGAACCTTGAACCAAAAAACAGGGAAAAGGGTACCACTGGGCTACCAAGTTACTATTCCTACTTTAAAGAAGGAAATCTCCCAAAAGCTCAAGGTTCACCGGTTGGCTGGTACAGGTCCCCCCTGCCGAGGGCAGGAGCCAGAAGCACGGAAAAGCCTGAAACCCCCCCTGAAACGGCCCTAAACCCTAAACCCTAAATCCTAAACCCGAAACCCCCTGAAATGGCAGCGCCTGGATCCACGATGCGGTTCCGTTCCAGGGCTCCCCGACGGGCCCATAGCCAAACCCTTCACTTCCTTTTCTTGGGGCGGCGATTGAGGGTTGTGGGTTTAGGGTTTACGGGTTTAGGAGGGCGATTTGGGGGTTGATGATATTAGGGATACCTTGTTGGGGTCCTTATTATAAAAGGAGATCCTTTATCGTAAACCCCTACTTAAGGGTTGTAGGGCTTCAGGGTTTAGGAGGGGCGCTTAGCAGACTCGGGTTTCCTAGCTGCCCGTTTGCCCTGCGCCCTAAGCGCTAGAGTAAGAGCACTGCAAGGTTCGGGCCGCAGGAGGTTAAGGAGCTTGCTTTCAGGGCCCTTCCTCAAGACTTTTCTTGCTCCCAAACTCTTCCCCAAACCCGACGCCCGAAGCCTAAACCCGAAACCCGAAATCCTAAAACCCTTCCTGCGTTTTGGGTGGAAAGGTTTCAGCCTTTCAGGCAACTTTTCCCACCCCTCCGACCTTCACGACGCAGAAGCCCCGAACCATCCCCAACCCCCAAACTACACCTCCAAGCCCGGCAAGCAGCCCAAACCACCCGAAAAAACCCAAAATTGGGTAGGATTGATGGAGTTTACAGGGTTTAGGGTTTCGGGCCGGTTCCCTAGCTTGCACCTCAAAATAAAAGCCCACTAAAAAACCTTGAATTATGGGCAGTGATTGGCGTCTTTTGTTTTTAGGGTTTGGGGATCCCTAACTTGCACCTCAAAGTAAAAGACCCCTGAGAACAGACGGCCCCGCTTCCCATTTGGACCCTGTTTACCCCAGGTACCCCCCATAATTCAGGTCATTTAGCGGCTTAAGGTTTAGGGCTTAGGGATGATTAAGCCTAGCTAAGGTTCTTTGGGGGGAGCCTAGAAGGGGGGGGGGTAGTATAGACGGGGGTTGTAGGGGAACCCATGACCCCCTCTTCGCCCAAAAAAAGTCTTCGTAGGAGCCTCAAAAAAAATAGACAAGAGTTTTGGGGCGTTAGTGATGCTACATTCGGGACCATCAGGGACGACGACGACGACGACGACGACGACGACGACGACGACGACGACGACGACGACGACGACGACGACGACGACGACGACTACTACTACTACTACTACTACTACTATGGTTACGAATATAAGTAATTGTTCCGACCCCTATGTTAAGAGATCACTGCAGTGACTCGACGGCCGGGCCGCCCAGGCCGTAGAAGAGGGCCATGTCGATCAGCCACACGAAGAGCGCCTGCATGTTTCCTGCACCATTGCTGGGGTAGTAATTTAAGAACATGTTCATGTTTGCTCCTTGTTAAGTTTAGGGTTTAGGGTTTAGGGTTGAGGGTTGAGGGTTGAGGGTTGAGGGTTGAGGGTTGAGGGTTGAGGGTTGAGGGTTGAGGGTTGAGGGTTTAGGGTTTAGGGTTTAGGGTTTAGCGTTAAAAGTTCCCCTAGATGATCATGCTTGCTCCTTATGGTTTAAGTACTCATAGAACAATGTAAAATGACTTTTTCAACAATGCCCCAGTGTCGAGACACGGCTCGGAAGACGGAGCCCAGGTGCTTCATGACCATCATGCCTAGGGCGTTCAGACCCCAGAGGCCCAGGAGGTAGAAGAAGAGCACCTGGGGCTCCGACATGGGGGTTTTAGGGGGGTTTAAGGGGGGTTTAAGGGGGTTTAGGGGGTTTAGGGTTTAGGGTTTAGGGGGTTTAGGGTTTAGGGGGTTTAGGGTTTAGGGGGTTTAGGGGGTTTAGGGGGTTTAGGGGGTTTAGGGTTTAGGGTTTAGGGGGTTTAGGGTTTAGGGGGTTTAGGGTTCAGGGGGAGGGTGGGGCAAGCACGATTGAAGCTGGATCGCTTAAGGGCAGAATGGGCAAAGGCTCAAGAGGCTGAAGTGGCTCAAGGGGCAGATGCAAGGGTCTCAAGGGCAATGAAGGGCACAGGAGAAAAAAGTAAGAGAAAATAACCCTAAACCCTAAACCCTAAACCCTAAACCCTAAACCCTAAACCCTAAACCCTAAACCCTAAACCCTAAACCCTAAACCCTAAACCCTAAATCCTAACCCTGAGCCCTAAGCCCTAAATAGCCAGCCGAGGTACGAAGTCTAAGGTAGGATTTCGCTTGATCATGAGCAGGGAGTCCTCCGTGTTTTCGTAGACCCCTCCGACGTCGTTTCCCGGGATGCGGGCCAAGATGGGCATAAGCCTAGACCCCAGAGGGTTTAGGGTTTAGGGTTTAGGGTTTAGGGGTTAGGGTTTAGGGTTTAGGGTTTAGGGTTTAGGGTTTAGGGTTTAAGGTTTAGGGACCCAGGAGTGACCCTAGGAATAAAAAACATTGACAAGGGTGCCCTTCTTTCTCTTATTTAAAGAAGGCTTCAGAAGGGAACCTAAACCCTAACAAAAACGGAATGAGAGCCTCATGATTGCTTCTGATTAATACGCCCCCCCCCCCCCCCCGCCCCCCGAAAATAATGGACCCTAAACCCTGCAGCAAAAAGGGAATAAGAAGAGCCTAAACCCTGCAGAAAAAAGGGGAATAAGAAGAGCCTACATCTGGGTCCAAGAAGCACGCAAGCAGTCATCACGAGGCCGTAGACGCCCTCGGTGCCCGTCACCTCGAAGGGATGTAGGCCGGACTCTCCCATGACCTTCTCCTCCAACACAAACCTGGCCACAGGGTTTAGGGTTTAGGCCCTTTAGGCCCTAGGCCCTTTGGGGTTCAAGGTTCCTTGAGAAACTCTAGGCAAACGTGAGCAAAGCATATGTTTCGACCCTAAACCCTAAACCATAAACCCTAAACGACAGCTTCTTGCAGTGCTGTCCAGGGAGCTGGATGCTGTTCACCACCCGGGCTAAGACGCAGAGGAACATGCCGAAAGCCTGCTGTGAGGCGGAGGCTTCCTGCAGCCCTTGCCTGAGCTGGGCTTAGGGTTTAGGGTTTAGGGTTTAGGGTTTAGGGTTCAGGGTTTAGGGTTCAGGGTTTAGGGTTATGAAATATGGAGTTTCGATGCTTCCTGCAGCCCTTGCCTTGGGTGTGAAAAAGCTTAAGGTTGCCGACAGGGGGGGTTTCCGATATTTTGGGGGAATCCTGCTATCAGGGGTCCCCTGTTTTCAGAGGGAGTAACTATCTTTTTCTACACCAACTTTTGGGGTTTCCAAATTAGGGGGGTGCCCTGGTTATTCTAAGAAAATCCTACTATGTGGGGATGTATTTACTGTACTTCAAGCTGGGGTGGTTCAACTGAGACTTTCTTTTGCGCAGCCCTGTTGCTTCTTGTCGTGGGCGGCCATTTGCGCCGCATAGCCGACAATCAGCAGGGAGGACAGGACGATGCCCATGCCCGCATATTGGATGCCGTTGTAGCGCCGGCCCAGGAAGATGTAGCTATTCACGGCCACCTCTACTCCCCTCAGAACCTTTATATGAAATATTATGTTTCATATCCTCTTGGGTTTTATATGAACAAAAATACAAAAATGCTTCCCAAGGGGGATATAGCCACCATGATGATGATGGACGATCCCAGCATCTGCGCCGTGCTGTTGCTGATGTAAACCTTGGTGAGCCCAGTAACCGGTTTATAATAAGGAAACCCTTTTCGGGCTTGGTTACTTCATAAGAGAACCCATAACCCAAAAAGGGTAAAGGGTACCACTGGGCTACCAAGAAACCAAGCCAGTGAAGCTTAGGATGCTACCGACGAGATCGCCCATCGCGGGCAGGAAGATCAGGGCCCGAATCTTCCATCCGCGGTCGCCCACCTGCGGCTCTAGGGAGTCCTCCTTCGCCTCCCACCTAAAACCCTGAACTTGGGATGTTCCCCCTTATGCGATGGACGAAATCTTACACCACTTGTACATGCGCACTTCAAGAAGATTGGCAGCTAGGACTACTAAGGACTGCTAGTACAAGGGGGAAAATCCCAACCCTAAATTCCCAAACCCGAATCTGTAAAAACAAAATCCCACACCGAACCTTGCGCGAGTCGAATATATCCCAGCTGGTCTAGACAATGCCATCATATCATAACATCACAGCATGACAATATGAGAACATTATCACATTATACTGTTATAATAAGATCATGATGAGAAGACTGATAAGACTATTAGATTTCAACTGTTTGTGCGTTACTATCATTCAACATTATAACCGTATCTTTCATAGCATTATCATGTTGCATGTTACACAACAATCATACCAGAGTCATCACTAAACCCTAAACCCTAAACCCTAAACCCTAAACTCTAAACCCTAAACCCTAAACCCTAAACGGTAAACCCTAAACCCTAAACCCTAAACCCTCTAAACCCTCCAAACCCTCTAAACCCTCTAAACCCTCCTAAACCCTCTAAACCCTCTAAACCCTCTAAACCCTCTAAACCCTCTCTAACCCTCTAAACCCTCTAAACCCTCTAAACCCTAAACCCTAAACTAAACCCTAAACCCTAAACCCTAACCCTAAACCCTAAACCCTAAACCCTAACCCTAAACCCTAACCCTAAACCCTAAACCCCCCCCCCCCCCCCCCCCCCCCCCCCCCCCCCCGCACCTCCTCGGGCAAGAGAGGCTCGCTCTGCGTGCCGTCGGCGACCTTGGGCTTGGAGCAGGCCTGGATGGCCCAGTGCCTGGGATTTTGTTAAAGGGGATTTCGTTTTGGGGTTTAGGGTTTAGGGTTTCGGGTTTAGGGTTTAGGGGTTAGGGGTTTGGGGGATTTCGTTGTGGGGTTTATTTGATTTGGGCTTAGGGTTTGCTTGGGGTTTAGGGTTTAGGCCCACCGCCGCCCTGAAAGCCAGAACTCCCTGTGTACCCAGCCCTACAAGCCCCCTAAATCCCAAACACCCTAACCTCCCCTCCCGCCTTAACCCTCCCCCTAAAGCAAGAGCCAAGTACTGGAGAAACGGCGCACCCTGAACCTAGGTTTTTATGGGGTAGGACTACAGTCGTATTAATGGGAACTGCCGGGTTTAGAGGTCTTTGCCTAAGAACGACTGGGGTTCAGAGCTTTCAGGGTTTAGGGTTTCGCGGTTCTCCGAAAGCGCTGGGGGAGCTGGGGAACTGGGGAAGGGGGGGGGGGGGGTGGGAGGGTTCACCTTTCCAGGCTTTTTGAGGTTTTACAGGTTTATATGAGTTTGGGGTTAAAGAATTTCACACCAAAACCCTGAACCCTAAAAATCCTCAACCCCAGACCCTAAACCTTCAAGAGAAGGCCCACCACCCAGGCCCTAAGGGGCTCTGCGTTTAAAAGCCAACTCAACACCCCCTGCGCGCCAGGGCGCAGCGGGAAGGACATGGTCATGCCGATGAACATCAGCAACTCCAGGAACCAGGGCTTCTTGAAGTAGTGGGCCGGGTAGTCGGGATTCCCCACATCCTCGGAGCGGAGGGGGGGCGGAGGGGGGGGGGATTTAGGGTTTAGGGTTTAGGGCTTAGGGTTTAGGGTTTAGGGTTTGGGGTTTGGGGTTTGGGGTTTAGGGTTTCGGGCATAGGGCCTAGGGTTTGGGGTTTAAGCACGCAACGAAGACCCAGACTGCCCGGAATCCTACTCGGGAGCCGAGTTCCAATGCCCGGACTTTTTTGGGTGTGAAAAACCTTTCCAACACATCCCCCTACGATTCCGATGAGGGGAGAACATATGACGTATCCCATGTGGGGCCTACGAATTCGGGGGGGGGGGAGGGGCGGGGGCTGTTAAGAGTCCCCAATCAACAAATCAAGGCAGCTGGGCGTCTTTGATCTGGTACGCGAACTTGTTGGTCACACCTCCAGGGCGTTCGGGGCGCGTAAGGGGCTGCGGGTTGAGGGTTCTCAAACCCTAAACCCCAAACCCCAAACCCTGAGCCCCAAAGCTCCAAAGCCCCAAAAGCAGGGCCAAGCCCACCACCCCTGCTTGCGTTGAGGTGCCTTCAGTGCTTGAGGCTTCGTATGTAGATGCTCCCTGAATTTAGGGGCTCTGGAATCCCCTAACCCCAAAACCTAAACCCTAAACCCTCAACCACAAACCCTAATCCTAAACACTAAACCCTAAACCCCTTAGACACCCAAGAGTGTGCCTCCCAGCGTGATCACGAAGAGGAAGGACACGATCAGCGCAGTCTTGTTCACCATTTTGTGTGTGCGGCGGGCTCCTTTTGAGCCGCTTGCTCTAGGAAAAAGCCCCGCGAAACCCCTAGATGACCAACGCCCTTCAGCAACTGTATACTCATGTGTTTATATTATGAATTAGAAATACATGATATACATTATGTGGATAGAAATATATATGTATATTTATATATACAGTTATACTTGTATACATTGAAGAAACCCCCGCTCCCGAGTGGTTTGCAAAGGAGGTGATGGGACTGAGGCTTCCCAGTGAGGGAAGCGGGGGATGAAGCCTTGAGCCCCCTCAGGCGGCGTGGCCCTCGTGTCCAAAAACCCCTGTTCTGCAACGAGAAACCTCAGGGTTTAGGGCTTTAGGGCTTCGGGCTTGGGGTTTAGGCTTCCGGGTTTAGGGTGTAGTCAGGGTTTAGGGTTTTACGCCTTAGATATAGTTTGGGGTTTGGGGGTTTAGTGTTTTAGGGGCTGAACCCCACGAAGAAACGCAGACCTCATCTTGAACCCTTTACCGAATGCGACACGTCCTAAACGAACAGGGTTTAGGGTTTAGGGTTTAGGGCTAGGGCTTAGGGTTTAGGGTCTAGGGTCTAGGGTCTAGGGTCGAGGGTCTAGGGTCTAGGGTCTAGGGTCTAGGGTCTAGGGTCTAGGGTCTAGGGTCTAGGGTCTAGGGTTTAGGGTTTAGGGTTTAGGGTTTAGGGTTTAGGGTTTAGGGTTTAGGGTTTAGGGTTTAGGGTTTAGGGTTTAGGGTCTAGGGCGGAAGCGCACACAGACATTCCTGCCGGACTGGGACTGGGACTAGGTGAATCAATGAGCCCTACCCTCTGAAAATACAAAAGCTACTTAATCTGGAAGAATCAACCCCAAACCCTAAACCCTAAACCCTAAGCCCTGAGGCCAGAACCCTATATCCTAAACCCTAAGCACTGATGGGTCTTGAGGATCCTGGGGCTGGGGAACCAAGGGGTTTTAGGGTTTAGGGTTCAGGGTTTAGGGTTTAGGGTTTAGGCTCAGTGCAGGGGTGTTGGGGTGTAGGGTGTATTCGTGTAGCCCGGAGCTCACAGAGCTTGGCCCTGTGGAAAGAACTTTTGCAACTGATGGAGGGTTTTAGGGCTTTAGGGGCTTTAGGGGTTTTTAGGGTTTTTAGGGTGTAGGGTTTTAGGATTTAGGGGCCTCAGGGTTCCCAAGCGACAGTTCATGTGGCAGGCTCGTCTCCCTCAAACCCCAAATACGCGGATACAGGATTCCTTCTGTTGCAGTGGGGGGGGGCTCCTTCGCCAGCCCTAAACCCAAAGCCACAACCCAAACCGATTCCCCCAAAACCGTTCCCAACCCTAAACCCTAAACCCTAAACCCTGAAACCTGACCCCTAAACCCCAAAACCCCCAAAACCCCCCAAACCCGCCAAAACCCCCAAACCCCCCAAAACCCCCCAAACGCCCCTCCAAAACCTCCCAGTTTCCAAACTGGCTGAAGGTTGGGGCGGCGGCTGGTTCTGGGGGTCGATGGCGTTGTCAGGGCCGGTGAAGCCCATGGCCTTGTCGGGTTCTGGGAATTGGGGGGGTTGCAGGGTTTTGGGGTTTAGGGATTAGGGTTTCGGTTTAGGGATTTAGGGTTTACCGTCTAGGGTGTAGGGATTTAGGGTCTAGGGTTTTGGGTTTAGGGATTGGGGTTTAGCGTTTAGGGTTTTAGGGACTAGGGTTTAGTCCAAAAGGCTGGGGGCGTGGGAGGTGCTTGGGATGGGGGAGGCTCTTCGGTGCTGCTTGGGTCTCTGGGCTTTGTCCCCTCCAGCCCCTTCAAAACTGAGACCCTAAGATTCTCGGACCCTAAGGCCCGAAGACTCTTACTCCAAAGACGCCACTAAGGCCCTAAGACACCCTAAAGCCTTGAAAGCTTCAGCTCCAAAGCCATGAGTGCCTGAGCCTGCCCATCTGTACCCTTGAGGCCTCCGGATGTAGACTTCTTAAACCCTGAACCCGAAGTGAAAAGCGCAGCACCTCCAAACCCTAAACCCCTAAACCCCTAAACCCCTAAACCCCTCAACCCCTCAACCCCTAAACCCCTAAGCCCCTAAACCCCTAAACCCTAAACCCCATCTCTCAGGGCCCCCGGGCAAGGACCACAAGCTCGGCCGGGTAGTCCACGGTACCGATCTCCTGAACAGAATCTTCGGGTTTAGGGTTTAGGGGTTTTCGGGCTTAGGGTTGAGGACGTGTGCCCTAAATCCTAAGCCCTCATATATACAAACAGCCTATCCCACCGAGACACTCTCCATATCTCCGAAAAGCAAACTCTTGCAGCCGACTTTTGGGGGCACGATTTATGGCAGCCGGCTCCTTGCCCGAGGGGTTGAGCTTGGCGGCCACCACACTGCCCACGGCACCGGGGTCCTGCGCTCTGGTGAGGAGGGTTAGGCGGGTCTATTTGGAGGGTTCACAGGTATGTCTAACCCCAAAAAACTAACTGTACTTATAAGCCCCCAGAGTCCGCTAAGGAGGTTATGAGTACACTATAAGCCCATGAACCTCCAAGTAGGGGGTTGCGGGGGGGGGGGGGGGTGAGGGTGATAAGTGGTTCAGGGCTAGGGGAGTGGCCGTTTCGGGTTTCGGGCTTCGGCTGGTTCAGAGCCCTGAAGCCCTTTCAGCAAGAACATGTGCTCCCAAGGTGCCGAAGGCTTGGGCGGGAGACTTCGGGAAGGGGGGCACGGTCGGGTTAAAGGCCTTCACCAAAAAACCCTACAGACCTGGGCCTACAACCCAAACAAACCCCAAAAAACCCAGAAAAGCCCCCCCCCCCCCCCACCCCCCCACAAGCACCCCCCCCCCCCCCCCCCCCCAAAGAAGGGCCCAGATCTACAGCCGCCGACCACGCCGACGTTCCTGGGCAGAGGGGCGGAAGCTCTTCGTCTGCACCATGTACCTTCATGAAGGCAAGATTCCTTTCAATGCCAAAAAGCCTTTAAGGAACGTCTTGAATTCAGAGGCTCTCAGTTTTTAAAGGGCGGCTTTACGTCCTGACTTGACTTTGAAGGAGTTCCGGGTCAGCCATCCAAGCACAACAACTTCGTAAAGGAAAGAGCCAGTGTGAACCAAAACCGACCAGGGATGCTCAGGGCTGCCAGTCGGCCCATCAATCGCCGATAGTGGGCGCTAAGGCAGGTTACTCAGTCAGGTTGTCTCCAGCGGCCCAAATTCTCCGCTGTTTCTGTCCCGCCTGTGGACTATCGATTAGGATGTTCCCCCTTATACTAACAGTCCTTAACCATGATTTCAATCGGGGGTACTCTAATCCCTACTAAGGACTCTTAGTATAAGGCAATATCAGGTGGAACATCACAAGCCCTCGACTTCCAAAAGGCAGCCCTGCTCCGCAGTCCCGTCCCTCCCCCGGCAAGGGTACAAGAGGGAAGTGCATCAGCATGAAGTAACCAACTTAGAAGTAGGAGTGCGACTGCAACAAAAAGGATCACAAAACAAACATGTAAAGAAACACACACACACACACACATATATATATATATATATAACTTAACAAGAACCATGGTAATGACAAAGATACTAAGCATATGTAACAATGCTGGAATAGCTGTTGCTCCTTCCTGGTGGCAAACCCTGAGCTCTCTCGCCCAAGCACCCGCCCCGAACTTTGTAAACGAATATAGGGCTTTAGAAGGCGAGCAATAACATTGGTGATTGTTTTATCCCAGGCGTTATGAGGGAAGTAAGGTTGGTAGTTCTTTTGGCTTCCTGCATTAGTGTTTAGGAGCAAGATTTTGATCCGCTGCAGCAGCAGCCCCAAAGATCATAAACCCAAAGCCCTGAACCCGAAGCCTCCGCAGCCTCGAAGACCCTAAACCCTAAACCCTAAACCCCCAACCCTAAACCCTAAACCCTAAACCCTAAACCCTAAACCGAAACCCTAAGACACCCGAGGGGGGCACTCGCGAGGGTCGCGGCCTAAGGTGGCGGCGCCCTCGGAGTGGGCGTAGTCCACGCCTAAGAATCTTAGGGCGTATAAGTTTTTATAGGCCCTGAGCCCTGAACCCTAAACCCCAACTAAGCCCTTGTTCTGGGGGTTCTGGCAGGATCGTGGGCTGAAATGAGCATACTTCCGACCCTCAGGAAGATGGGTCTCTCTTCAAGTCTCTCTTGAGCTTCTAAGGCTTCTTCTGTGGCGTGGGAGGGGTCTCAGTACGCTGCCAAACAGACAAACATATTGATGGCCCCTGGAGCTCGACATGTACTCAGATAAATACATTTGTTCAGCATGTATATGCATGAGCAGAAGATATGATATGTGTATCATATATATATATATAGATATTATACATATGTATATATATATATATATATGGGGGTTGACGAAAATAAGGGGACCCCTAAGAAAGGTCCCCAAGTAGTAGGATCCCCTGATACTCGGGACCCCAACAAACAAATCCGGCCAACGCTTCCACATCACCCCCGTCGTGCGACAACGCCGTGAGCACAACCGGAGATCTAAGCTCTGTATACCCTTCAGGCCCAGAATCCGAACCCCTGAATTCATGCTAGGGTTTAGGGTTTAGGGTTTAGGGTTTGGGGTTTAGGGTTTAGGGTTTAGGGTTTAGGGTTTGGGGTTTAGGGTTTAGGGCTTAGGGCTTAGGGTTTAGGGTTTGGCCGAACTTTTACGGACATTGAGGGTTTGGGGTTTAGGGTTTTTAGGGTTTAGGGTTCAGGGTTCAGGGTTTAGACACATTGGTGAGATTTTATGAGCTTTCAGGGTGCTCTTGGGGGTTTCAGGCTTGCTGCAGATTCTGCGGCCCCACAAACTTTCTTAAACCACCGCAAGCCCATTTGGCTTCGGGTTTAGGGTAAGTTTAGAGGCCCTTCAAATAGAAACCCTGCAGGCCCGAGAAAGGTCCCCTACCTGAGCCCTGAGACCCACATCACCCCAGGGGTAGATGGGGGGGGGAGTAGGTATCTCTAACTAGGCTTAATTATGGGGGGAAGCAAGTGGGGGGGGGTAGTATA